TGTGGTCATAAGCAATAACCGCCTAAGTCGACTTAAGAAAGAATTGAGTTATACATGCGAAAAAAAAATTAATAGCTAGAGAAAATACCGCCTATCAAGGCAATGCCTTCAAAGAAACCCCGTTTTTTCGCTCTCCTGTAAAATTTGAGTTCCGTAAGATAGGCGGTTTTGCAATTGGTAGATGGGCGGTTTTGCAAAAACATCGACGATATGTATTTAGGTATATGAGTCTGTTAATTAGCAAAGGGAATAAGTTAGCACAATTTTTCGATAAGGACTATTTGATGCAGATTAACATAGCTTTTTTAATCGTACCGAATTGTATCGAAATTGCCATATCGAAAAATGCGGATTATTCCTCTTGGAACAGATTCATTCCTATATACATATCTATGTACATACATACATACTCTCCATGTCCGGATTGAAGGCTTCTAATCAGGTGCTGCCACTGGTTATTTCAGCAGACATTGATTGTGGCGATTATATGAAAGTATGTAGCTTTAGCTGCTGCGAGCAATGACACTGACACAGTTGAGGCATAGGCGCACGCAGTTGAGGGTGAGTTGTCATTGTTTCCTGGCTGTTTATGTTTCTTTCTTCAATTGCCACTATGTATGTATTTTGTTTGTATGCGTATATGCGCTGTCAAAAGAGACTATTCAGTGTAATGATGTCAACCGATAGATATTCAACATGCCATGCTAACGATAATTAACTGACTGACCCCCAGCGTGAAACACAATGTACTTGATTAGCAAGTAAATATAGTAATAGTTTAAATAATGTAAGTTTGGTTGGTTTAATACCTGTCGTGTGCGCTGTGTTCCGCTTGTGTTAGCAGCTAATTGCCCTTCACTACGTAGTCCTGTTTCATATTCTTCAGGTTTCTTGCTGTTTGTCGAACTTTTACTTCGTGTCCTATGGATGCTGAATTTGTTAATGTGGGAACCGTTTTGGTGTTGTGGTTCTGTTTTCTTTTCCGCGTTTAATTTTTTGTCGTGTATACGTACACCCAACTCTTGTTCACCAATACTCTCCTGCTGCTGCCGTTGCTTGGACGACGGTATGGCCTGCTCATTCCTGGTCGCACTAGCACTGTTTCCCATTAAAGTTTCGCTTGCAGTGCATTTATTGGGTTTGTTTTGCTTTCACCTATGAAATACTCGCTGGTACTTTCTTTTTGTTTGCTTTATTTTTCACGATAACAAAAAACTGCAGAATTTGTTCTTAGTGTAAAATCAATATTCTGGCCGTAATATTTTTGTTTTCTCAGTATTTTCAACACGAGCACGCGTCGGAATTGCGTTTTTCGTAAAAATTTAGCTTTTTAAAGTATTTAGACATTACCTTTTATTATGGAAAATAACGCGAACCAAGCTTCTCCTTCTTCCATCGAGCAGAAACGAGAAAAGCAAAAGTTAACGAGTGGACTTTAGCGAACGAATCGAAACAAACGAATTTTCTGTGGTGCTGCCAGCGCGATTTATTAAGTCACGCTTATTTTAACCAAAGACCGTAAATGTAGGTATACGATCTTTTTGAAAAATCTAATCCGTAGATTTACGTTCTTTGGTGATCACAATCCAAAATATCCTGTCGTGTTATACACAATATGTAATAATAAAAATTAAGATAAAAGATATCTGATAATATTTAAACTTAAAATATTATGTTAAAAAATGAATTTAAATAAAACATACATATGAAGTTTTTCAAGTGAAATATGGGATTATTCGGAATGTATAAAGAAACGCAGCCATAATGTTAAATTCGTTAAACAAAGAAGATGCAAAGCTAAATAAAGTACCGTTTGCACGGTATAGACATGACTGTTGATAGGAAAAATAACTAAAAACTGCTGATAGTACAGTTTGCAGAACTGATGAAGTATAGTTTGCATGAAAATGATTAAAGGATAAAATTAAATTTTAACAAACATCTGACGTATAATTATAAAATTTTTAATTTTGAGATATTATCTGGCGATACGTGGACTTAGTTGCCTGCCATTAAACACATACAGATTAATACAATCTAATACATAATTACGGTTACTTGTGGACCGCTAACCGCTCCTACCAAGAAAACACAACACAAATTTTAAAAACGATAAAATCAAGATTTAATAAAAAATAAAGATTTGAAATAAGCATAGCAGAAACTTGTGGTTCTGGCCCATAGCGGTATTACCATCGTGTATCAGTGGAGCAACGATTGGATACATCAACGGAATATAACATACAAAGAGACATATTTTAAATTAGAGGAATAACCTGGCGATGGTGACCCCAGCCAACCTACCCAAAGCCCACAAAAAATATATATATTCACCACCTTAAAGTAACCGGTGAGTTTTGCATACATATGTGGCCC